ACAGTTATAGATCAGACTTGAGAAAAAAATATGTTCTAAAATGTTTACATTTCAGAAAACCGCGAAACATAATATGGGTATAAGTTTGTAATAAATAAAAATTAACAGATAGTATTACTCAGCATTTGGAAAGAAACTTGATAACCTATTGTGGAGCATCACTCACAACAGAAGACGTCGAAGTGATAGCGGAGAAACGAGCAATATTAATGCGGGTTTTTCGACGACTTCAAGTAGAAAATGACACCATTCCGGATCCGAGTATCTACTTGTCAAGTAGAATATAGTTATGGATTATTTTTCAATTCAACAGATTATTTTAGAGTTTATGACCATATATGGAAATGTGCATGAATTTTATTCATTTGAATGGATCGTAAAATATTTTTTCGACAAACATTTTTCAAATTATGAGGATGCGATTGACACATTTCTCGGGCAGCTGTTGAAACACACAATAGATCGAGAATTTTTGAAAATTGAAGACCGGTAATCATTATTTTCAAAAAACTTCTGAAAACGATTTCTTATTTTTTAGGTGTCTTCTTCGTGCACTGACAATAGAGAAATCATTCGATTATACCCGTATTGGCTTGTTTGTAAGAAAACTACAACACGAGTTGATCGATCTCGTAAGTTTTTGATTCTTTTATAGAAGGCGGTGTTTGGGGTCGAGGACTAGGTGGCCGTAGCCGTCAACGTCGGCATTTAGGCGGCCATCTCCAGATTGAGTTGTGGTACTTACCAGAGCTGTACGGAAGTAAAAATTTTGAAAATGAAAATCGGAAGCCGGAAACTGGAAGTGATATTCCAAAAATGAAAGTCGGAAGCCGGAAGTCGGAAGTGAAAAAATACCCTTAATTCCGGTTGACGGAAGCCGGGAGTCGGAAGTCAGTAGTGAAAATTCAGAAAGTTTTAGCTCAAAGTTGACTCGAAAGTGAAGATTTTCGCGCAAACGAAGTTTCTTACTAAAATTTGTCCGAAATAATTGATACTATAGCCGGCGCTTGATTTTTTTCAATTAACGGAAAATTCCATCATTCCGTCTTCACTTCGTTCTCGAAAATGGAAGTTGGAACTCGGAAGTCGGAAGTAAATGTTTAAAAATGGATGTCGGAAGTTGGTAATCGGAAGTGAAAAAACACCCGGAAGTCGGACTTCCCCACAGCTCTGGGTACTTACATTTGTCCTATAACTAAAACTGCAAGTGCTCTAGGAGTTACTTTCCAGAAAATTCTGTCCATATATGATTTGGCGGGAGTTTAAAATAAGCCCATTTTTGACCCAGCATAGCATGTATCACTTTGAAACAAAGCTTACGTGCGTCACTGCTCAACAGATAAAAAACTCTGTCTGAGTTATGAAGGGCCCAAAAAACCGAAAACAGGAAAAATATTTTGGCCCTGGATTTTTTTCGGTCCTCCTTATTAATTTCGACCATCCATTTTCGAATGGAGCCAAAGATCCCGGAACGAGGAGGTCTGGTTTACTCTAGAGAAGAAATTTATCATTTTCGATATACAAATTGCATCAGCTTCAGACATTTTTCTCTGGAATTGCAAGAGCAACATTGATGAAAAAATTTATATCGGCTGATTGGAATGACGTCCTGGCCACTAATGTTACCACTTTTGCATCAAAATGGCTCAATGAATCTCTGGTACGTTCTTCTTCTTGAAACCCTCAGTGTATATTGTTTCTGTTTTTTAGACTTCAGCATGGCCTGTCATTCACAACCAGATCTTCCGAGATCAGATCAGAAAAGTAACTAAACAGGCAGGATACTTCGAACGTGAGGTGTTGAAAAAAACAGCTGAAATCACGAGTTCAATACTCAACAGAACGGGAATTCCTGGGTAGGTATTCGATTATCTTTCGATATGTGAAAACCCCGTGCGAACCGAGCAAAAACTGAATGAGCTAGGCAAGACGCCGGACTCACTTCATTACAAACAGAAAGATTAAGCAAAAAAAAAAACACGTTTCAGCTACACCTACGACATGCTGATCGTCAGAGCACCAGAAAAGAATTTCCAGTTTCACTTCGAAAGTCTATCCAATAATTCCCATTTTGATAAAGGAGACTTTGGTTTTAATACGGTTCTTATTCGGAGACCTATCAACAATTCAAATCAGTTGGAAAAATGTAACAAAACAAGTCACTGTATAGAGCAATAATTGTGTATTTTCAGTGAATCTCCAAGACAAAATTCGACGATTAAAAATACAAATTGAGTCTGAAATGGAGTGAGTGACTAGGGATCTTTGATACTTTGACAGTTTGTATTAACAATCAGTTGATATAATATTTTTATAATCAAACTTCAGTTCTGCAGTTTTTGGCTTTTGATCCAAATGTTTTGATACAAATCTATTTGGAAATTATATCGATCGAAAGAATATTTTTTGATCTACTGATCCTCATTAATTTACAGACATCTAATTGGTGCCAAAAATGTAACTGAAGTAGCTGGAGGATTGAAAAACAAACTCGGAAGTTTTGACGTCGAAAACGGTTTCCATGGCTTTGCAATCGCTCGAAAATGGGAAAAGACTCCTTTCAAATCGTGTTCAGCAATTGATGATGTGCAGTATTCAGAGGACTCTTTCAGTACCATCTATAATTTCACTTATCAAAACTCTGGCAATTTGTTTCAACACTGCCAAACTTTCAACTTTTATTTCTTCTTGTAAAGATTTACTTTTTTGAATATACATTTTCAAAGTTGTTTTTCTAAATTTTTTAACAAAAAAAAACAATAATTTATTACAAAACAATTCTCGGAAACATGTCTTCAATGATCACTTCCCACTCCCTCAACTGTTTCCTCACCAAGTACTCCATCTTATCCCTAAACGACAAATTCCGACAGAAGCACATCTTCTGAAATTGATCACTCCTCGTACAATCACCCGTCTTCCCATATCGATCCATTCGCATTACATTCCCGAATTTCACCTCGTTATTTTTCATATTATGCATTAGAATTGTTTGAAATTGCGCGTAGATTGGAGCAGTGGTCATCACGATTATTTCGTAGTTGTGACTGGATTCGGAGTGATGAAGGTGACCATGATGTTTGAGGGATATCACCTGGACAACGGGGAGTTAGATTGAAAAAAAAATGAAAAAAAAACCTTTTTGAGCTCGTATTTCTCACATAGCGATGAGAATCCTGCATTACGTATGAGGTAGTTGATATGGTCTATGAGAAGGTTGCCGAATCGCCAGCGGAGATTTTCACTGGAAGAAAAAATAATAAAATATGACCGAGTCAACTATCTTATACTCCTACTTGACCGTTTATGGTCTTTTTTGGCCGGCCTCGGGAGGCTAAAAGCCTGGCCTCGCCGGACTGACCAGTCGAAAATCCTGCCTGACCAGACCGGTGAGCCTGAACGCCAGTCTGACCTGGCAGCTCAGCCTAAAAATTCGTCGGACTGTTTAGCTCAAGAGCCTATCTGACAAGTACCGGCCGGCTTAGAAATTTTTCCGATTTCGTGGACCGGCCCGAATAGCCTGAAAGACTTTTTCTGGCCGGAACAGTCAGTCTAAATGCATGTCTGACCATGGGGACTAGCCTAAAAGCTTTTTTTACATGACCAGCCATTCTAGAAGTCCTTCTGACCGGACCTTACAGCTGGAAAGTCTACCTGACCGGCCTGACGGGCCGAAAGGCTAGTTCGATTCGAATGGGCAGCCTATTCGGACAAGTTAGCTAGCTAAAAATCCTTTGTGACTGGGCCTGAAGCCCCACGATGCCGAGCCAGTCAGCATAAAAGACTGTCTGGCCGGGCTAACCATTCTTGAGGCCTGCTTGGCTGGCCCGGCTAACCTCAAGATCCTCACGACCCGGGAAGCCAGCCTACAGGCCTATCTGACCGTGCCGATCAGCATTCTGACATGACCAGCCTGTTGTCGAATACCCGCCTATGAGCGTCTATTCGGCAACTAAACCACATGATATTCTCATCGGAGTTACTTCAAAACTCTTGAATATCATGTGCTTTACACTTCTTTTATATTTATTCTTATTTGAATGCCCGCTCATTAAACTGGTTGCCAACGCGCTCCACCGACAATGCGTAGCGCCCCTCGGGGCACACACGCAATTGTCGATGTAGGCCAGCGGCGCCGCATTCAATTGAGTCTCGTACGCTTTTCCAGTCGTGTCGACCGCACACGCTGTATTTTGGTTATTTTCTCTTTGTTTTTGTTACCTTTCTGACGAATCCGTCATCGCGTTGCTCATCGCACACGCTCAACGGTTTTACTTCTGTTCGACTGCAACAGTTGGTTTTCCCGTTCGGAGACGCTAGAGCATCTCCTCCCATTTCGCCTACACTTTTGGCTCTACTTTCGTATACGCTCGACCAACTGGATCGACACCCTTTTCGTTATACGCTTTTATTAACCTTTCGCTCTTTTATCATTGCTCACAATAAATGGGTCATTGATACTTTGTGTTCGTGTTATTATCGTAGGGATCGCACATACTTTAGCTCCTTGACGAGCAGTTCTTACACTTGTTTCGTGGGCCGGGGCTCGGAGAACCGACCTCCCTTTGAGACCCGTCTACACAGCCAGTCTAAAAGCCCTTCTAGCCCAGATTTTTGACTGAAAAATCTACCTGACCGACCTGGTGGACCTGAAAACCGGATCGACTGAACCGGACTTCCTGAAAGCCTGTCTGACGAAGCTAGCCAGCCCTAAGGCCCCTCTAACCTCGCTCTAAAGCCTAAAAGCCTATCTAACGGGTTCGTTCGCCCTAAATCCAAGTACCACTCACTCTGTGACCACAGTCTTCTCCACCTGACAAATGCAGTATTCCGGAGGAATTGGAAGATGTCCACAAGTTCTTGGGAATGATGGTTGTCGACGGAGGTATGAGTGCCCTTTTTCATTTGAAATACTCAGGGTAGTGGTGTCAGTGAATCCGGATTCTGGTTGATACTGAAAAAGCAGTGGTTTGGCGGAACGGGAGATATCTTTTTTGTTGCACACCGTGGCGCAGCGGCGGTTAGCGCTGTCGACCAACAATTTTTCAACGCTGGTTCAACCCCGCCCGGTGCCAAATTTTTTTTACTTTTTTTTGTGTTTCCCCCACCTTCAAAATATCCAAAATCGTGGCTCTCGTATCAAAATGTGTCTGCAATCTCCTTGAATTCTGTCTCATTATCTCTAAAATCGCTTGATTTTTCCGGAGACTCTTCGGAATCGAAATCGATAAATATGGATTGTGCAGTTCGAGTCCACCGATATCAGTCTCCAAGAATCGCTGCCTCGCTAACCGGAAGCCATGATCACCGAGAAGGATGACGAAGGAGTTTTCAAACTGAAAGTGTTTGCGGACTCGGCATCAGATCTTACAACACTCACCACTTCCATGTTCCTCTCGATAATCTCCACTAATTCCTGGTCAGCTCTCAGGAATCCATTGAATAAATCATGGCCAACTGTGGTTAGCCATGTCCATGTGAATTTCGGTTTATCTGAAAAAAATGAGAGAACACTGTGCGCCTTTAAAAAGAGAGAGAGAGAGAGAGAGAGAGAGAGGGGGGGCATCGCAATGTGGATGCCCTCTCCCTCATCTTTCCGCGATGACGACGGTGGCGCAGTGGCTACCACTCTTGTTTTTGAATTTTTCAACCCGGGTTCAATTCCTCCCGGATCCCACTTTTTTTTTCTTTTCTCCTACCATTCCAAAATACCTTTATAAACATCCAGAAACTCTTGAAAATACTCAAAAGCCGGATGCCGGTGCTCTCTGCATAGATGTCCTTCCAAGTGTTTTCTGGTGATTTCTTTTCCGTACTTATAATAGTTCAAGTAGAAAGGGTGCATGTAATGGTCAGTAGGGGCGTCCTTGAGACCCTGGCAATGTGGGTGGTTAAGTACTTGGATTTCCAGATCGTCACTGTATAGGGTCTGAAAATAGGGAGACTTAGTTTGCTCGAAAACGCACTTTAAAAGAGGGAGAAACTCAAAAAAAATGTCTCTGAAAATTTCACAGTAGATACTGTACCGGCCATGTATATACGAACACCACGTGAAAATTCAAGCCTTTGTGTACTGAAAATTTTGTTGAACCAACTTTGAGAGGCCATAACTTTGGAGCCAGCTGAGATAGAAAAAAGTTGTCAACTAATAAAATGTGTAAAAATTGATAATCTTGAGGTCATTAGTTGACCGTTTTTTGATATCTCGTACGGCTCAAGAGTTACACGCCGTGCAATAAAAAGTTAATTTTTGGAAAAAACTTTTGGAAATAGAGAAGCCCAAAACGGTCAAACCTTAGACCATCCTTGCTAAGAATGGTCCTATCTCAAAAACCGTTGAAGTTAGAAAAAAGTGGTTAACTGAAGATCAATAGAACATACAATTTTCTAAATTTTTGTAGTACATGAAATTTTTCCAGCTATCATGCCTGCTGAGTTACAGCCGACAAAAGTGTCAAGTTTTGAAAATAATGGCAATTTCTATAGAGAGTACCTTCTTTAAAGCATACTTGCTAAAGGCCGGGCCGGGCCGGGCCGATTCCTGAATTTCGCCGGCCCGACCCGGCCCGCGGGCCGATGTCATCACTGCTATTTTTTGGAGTACTTTTATTTCGATTGAAAAACATAACTTCCTCATGATTCTAAACATGTATTAATGTGAACATGATAATATCACAAAAAAAAAGAGCAGTTTATATTGAAAATTTTGAAAAAAAGCAGAAAAAACCCGAAAATTTCGTGTGCCCAACAAGGCGGGCCGGCCCGGGCCGGGCCGAAATTATATTTTTGTCGGGCCGGTCCGTGATTTAGCAAGTATGCTTTAAAGGGGCATGCAATTTTTTAGGAAATCTCACTCACCATATACCCATGATCCCTAAACTCTTCCATCATCGAATAATTCAGGAAAGTGTTACAATACTGGGATCTACTCCAATCCGCTTCGATATTCCTCCCTCCATAGTTTTCACCGTTAATTTTCTCGATTAGTTTACCTGGAACCCATTTTCATTGGATGTTGGGGTGCTTTGAGAAAACTCAAAAACTCACCAAACCACAACGCAATTCCATTGGGTAGACTATTCTCGCCGACTTTATTCACAAATGGAAACTCCACTGCTTCCAGCCGCCTATTCAAAGTTTCAAGGGTTTTTGGGAGAGATCTGTGATAATGGTGTTTGCGGACCCTTTTAGGACACTTACCGCTTTGCGGAGCCAGTTGATAGCGAATCTAGAAGGAAAACGAACACATTTGGAGGGTTTTTTGTCTTTGGCTCAGTTTTTGGTTTTCTGGAATTTTCTAGATATTGATTTTTTCTAGGAATCCTTACTTCGGTATAATTTGAGTATGTATATAACCGTAGATCTCCTTGCCATCCTCCCAACAAACAGCTTCCAGGAACTCACAGGAGACGGGTCCGGGGGGTGTCCAGGAGAAGAATTTTAGGTTCCAGTTGTCCAGGCGCTCGAAGCATCTGGAATGAAAAAATAGGTTGGAACTGGCGGAGGCCTGTAAAGCCTGTAAGCCCTGAAGCCAGAAGCCTGGAAGCCTAAAAGAAGGCCTAACTTGTTGTGAGGCCTCCTCTTCCCTTTCCTGGAGGAGACGCAGCAATATCTACGCCCGCTCTCCTTCCTACTGTTTTGGCAAGCATGGCGCAGCGGCTAATACTGATGTCTCAGAAATTTTCAACGCGGGTTCGACCCCCAGTAGTGGTTTTTCTTTTTTTCTAAATTACCTCGCCGAGCAATTCATCCCTTTTTTCTCCTCCACAATCCTCCACTCTCCGTTCCTCAATTCTGTATACGGCTTGAATCCCTTGTCACAGTTCTTGGTGGTGTCAAATGTGTAATCCACGTATCTCATCACTTTCGGGTGCCAATAATCATAAACCGGAAGGGAGCACACATTCATGTAGTTGTTTGTGGAGTCATGCTCGTGGAAGGCGGATTCTGGAATTCTTTTCTTATTTGGGGCGGGCATGAAGGCAGCCGGGGCAAAAAAAGAGAAAACTAACCTTCCACTCTCTCCCCACCTTCATAGATAAATAATATGAAAATAATTTGAAATAAAACCACAAAAACCAGGAATCGAAATAGCACTTTTTTCGATTTCCGGCTCGAAATCACTTGGTACATTTTCAGATTAAAAACCCGTCAGGAGTAGTAGCATCGTGGAAAAAAAAAGGTCACGGATAAATTAATTTTTTTCCACGTAACCAATAAAAGTTAGCAGAGAGCAAGATTGTTTCAGCATGCTGCTCTTGTGATGTCTGCGTCTCTTTCCTTCTCGCTCAGTGTATTTGATTTGAGTATGACTAGACATGTAGAATTCTCTTATCAGTTTTTGGAAAGTTTGTTCAAGACAATGATGATGATCTAGATTTTTCATTCACCTTAAAGGCACATGTGCCTTTGAGGTAAATTGCATTTTTTTTATTGATTTCAGTCAAAAAACTACCAGTTATGCATAAAGACTTATTTCAAACAAAGAAAATCTAATTACAAAAAAAAAACAAACAAAAAAAAGAAATCTGCGTTCGGGGGGAATCGAACCCCCGTCGAATGCTTGGAAGGCATCCATGCTGACCATTACACCACGAACGCGGCGATGGAAACAGGCTTCGGGGGCCATGAGAAGCGTGGGGTGCGGAGAAGCGCGCGCTGACACTTACACCCAGTACTGTATGTTCAGAGCATCATATCTCAGTTGTCTTTAGAGCTATCAAAAAGTAGTCAACTGAAGAAATGTTGATCAAAACATTTTAAACATTTTACTGGTTAAAAAGTTTTTGATAGCTTCAAAGGCAACCGAGATATACTGCTCTGAACATAGAGTGCTTGAATCATAGAGGTTGCGGTAAGTCGTTTATGCTCTTTGAGGCCTTTTTGTTGACGGCTTGCATGTCTCTTAATAGTCGAAGGCCAAAAAATACACATACATTTTTGGATGAACTTTTTTGGCAAATACTCAAGTGCTATGGTGTTATCTTGCGCTATGTGTCAATTTTCCAAAAATGGCTTTTGTGCTATAGGTCAAGTGCTATTTTTGCCATGTCTCATTTTCTATAAAACTGAATGAGCACCAAGGCCAAAAGATGGCGAAATAGCACTTGATCCATAGACCAAGAGCTAAAATAGCACTTGAGTATCTACCAACTTTTTTTGCTTTGTCCTTTGCTTAGTCACCATTGCTGTCCTTTCCAACACACTTTGTCCCGTTGGCGTGAGAGTCAGGGCCCACTTTTCTGTCTACGCCTCCTATCTCTCAACTCTTCTGACCACAGAAAATAGTGTGGCGGGAAGAGAGAGAATTAGAGATAACCAGTACACTTTCTCTAGGGGCAACGCTCCTCGCATCGACTTGCACTTTTTTGTTTCTCCGGTTGCGCTTTAAATTTTTTTCGAATTTCGAATTAACTACTTGGAAGGCTGTAATGGAGGCTGCTCCCAAGCCTAATTATATTCCAAGCTTGCAAGATTTGTGTCTGCCAGTGGTTATCGACCATATTCAGAGAGGTATGATGACAGATATTTTTTGAATTTCTGGCAAATTTGCTTTGGTAACTTGTATGAATGCATTTGCGCTCTATTGAGAAAAGAGGCGGAATTTGAATTTAGGCCGAAAACTGAATTTTTATAACACGTGTCAACTAAATTCGTAACGTTTCCAAAACTAAGATATAGTCACGTGCTTTTGAGGTCGAAAATCGTGTAGATACTCAAGTGCTATTCTGGCTTTTGTGCTATAAATCAAGTGCTACGGGGGTGATCAAGTGCTATGTGGGAATTGCTGTTTCGGATCTTGTGCTACTGTCTCTTGTGCTATTTTAGCTTTTGTGCTATTGTCTCAAATGCTATTTTCGCTTTTTTTGTAGTCTCAAATGCTATTGTTCCTGTCTCATGCGCTATAAAAAGATACAAAAAGTCATAGCACATGAGAAAGCCATAGCACATGAGACATGGCGAAAATAGCACTTAATCTATAGCACAAGAGCCAAAATAGCGCTTGAGTCAATAGCATTACCCCAATAGCAGAAGATCAGCCCATAGCACTTGAGCATTTGGAAGTGATCACGTG